GTATGTTTAAAAAATTCATTTCTTGTATAATAAATAATTTATATTTATATTCATTCATTTATAATAAATATATATATATTATATAATAGATGTTGGGAAAACGTCTGCAACTCTTGACAGTTATAAATCTAGATGGTCATTGGCTGATTAAAAAAAAGGAATTTTACCGTTGTATATATACAGTCAACTTTCGATATAGTGAACCTATTGTATAGTGAATCGTACTATATAGTGAAGTTAAAAAATTTCCCATTTCATTATATATAAATTGCTCTCCATATAGTGAATTTTAATATAAATTCGCTATATAACTATATAGTGAAGTTTGTCTTGTTACGGTCATAATAAATGAGCTCTCTATATAGTGAAGAAATTATTCCTTATTGTCGATCACTTCCTTTTAAAAAATTCGTGTAAATTACATCATTAAAAATGTATTTTTAATCATTATATCATCAAGTAAAATTACTCGCGTAATATTTTTCATGATTAAAATTACTCTTATAATAATGATATTTTATGATTAATATTTACAATTATTATATCATGAGTGAAATTATTCATTTGCATAATGACATTTTTATGATTAATATTTATAATCATTATATCATGATTAAAATTACTCTTATAATAATGACATTTTTATGATTAATATTTATAATCATTATATCATGAGTGAAATCATTCATTAAAATTATTATAAAAAATTACTTGCTTAAAATTACATTGAAATTTAATACTTGTAAATATATAATGCTTGTAATATCATGATTGTTATAAAATTTTTATATAAATAAAGGAACTGAAAAATATTTTCCTTTCATTTATAATTGTAACATTTTAAAAATATTAATAATGTCATCAAATGATCCATCAAAAAAGAAAAGAAAAATTCTAACTTGGGGTGAAAAAAAGGAACTTTGCGATTTCCATGAAAAAAATCCATTATTCACATATAAAGAACTTGGACTAAAATTTGAAATTGCAGAAGCTACTGTTTGCAACATTGTAAAAAATAAGGAAAAATGGTTAGCAGTTGATCCTTCAAATGCTAATAAACAAAAAGATAAATCGCCAAAGTATCCAGAAATTGAAAATGCATTGATTTTATGGATTAACCAAGCACTTTTGGCTAATAAAGTAATTACAGGCGATGTTATAATTGAAAAAAGCAAAAGATTTGCTGAATTGCTCGGAATTGACAATTTTAAAGGTTCAGATGGATGGGTTACAAAATTTAAACAAAGACATAATATAAAGCAATACAATTTACATGGTGAGGCGGGATCTGCACCTTCCGAAGAAATTATTATTCAAGAAAAAATAAAATTACGAGAAATAATTAAGGAATTTCCTTTGGATGATGTCTATAATTGTGACGAAACTGGTAAATTTATTTGTGAAATATACAAATGATTTTTATATAGCATGAACTTACATATTTTTTTAATTATTAGGCTTACTTTGGGAATTAGAACCTTCAAGAACATTATCAACTGGTCCACTTTCTGGTGTAAAAAAATCAAAAAAAAGGGTAACCCTTTTATTAACTATGAATGCAACAGGGACTGTAAAACTTCCTCTTTTGTTTATCAATAAATATAAAACTCCAAGAGACATGATAGGAGTTGATAAGTCCAAACTTCCAGTCGATTATTATTGGAATGCAAAAGCTTGGATGCAAGTTTCCATTTGGAACCTTTATTTGAAGAAATTAAATGATCTAATGGTGAAAAAAGACAAAAACATACACTCACCTGCCAAAAGTATCCGGACAAAATGTAGATCATGTAAATTTCCGTGACATTTCTGGGTGTTTTACAC